CTTCTTTCCCTATACAGCACACAATTTACCTTAACACACCAAATCTCTCAGCCAGCCGGCTCCGGCTCGCGCCATTTCAGGGCTCTAATCCCCAAATTCAACGCGTGCGCAGCCTCTTCAGCGCCATTCTCGCACTTTCCGGGCATGATCGGTACGCGTGTGCCTCCTCTTGGTGTATACATACAACCTGAACTCTCTTTCCTCAACAGATCGCGAATCATGCGCACGCAATCACGTCCGGTCAAACATGATCCTACGACTTTCTCTTTGTCTCCTGCGCTGCTCCCGCCACTCCGCCACGCTTCTTTCCCTATACAGCACACAATTTACCTTAACACACCAAATCTCTCAGCCAGCCGGCTCCGGCTTGCGTCATTTCAGGGCTCTAATCCCCAAATTCAACACATGCACAGCCTCTTCAGCGCTGTTGTAGCTCTTTCCGGGCATAATCAGTATGCGTGCGCCCGCTCTTAGTATATACATACAACCTGAACTCTCCTTCCTCAATAAGACCGACAGTCCCGTCGTGCGAATCAAGCACACACAATCATGTCTCGTTAAACATGATCCTACTACTTTCTCTTTGGCTCCTGTGCCGCTCCTGCACGCCTTGATACTTGACTTAGAAGCGTGTCATTTGAGATGACAAATTCCCGCCCAACACACGCGCAGCACTTCTACTTCTTTTCTTGCTAGTTTTGGATGATCCGTACGTGTGCGCGCGCTCGAAGGTCATACATACGACTTAACCTTCTTGTCCCCACAGGACACAATCTCAGTGTCTGTCATACGCATGTGGTCGGTCATACATAATGAGGTCCACGCTATTTCTGATGTATATACCCGATCATCGTCTTAGACCGCATGGCTGGTGTCCCGATGCGCGTCATATGAATTGCGAGAACGAGGATGGTGGAAACTTTGTCATACATAGTTGAAGGAGTTATCTTACCACATGCTTCATACATACTTACTACTCAAACATACCTCCTCGATCATCCATCCTGGTAAATCTTGATCGATGGTTATGACTGAGACCCTGAGAGTCTTATCATACACCACGTCGAAGTTTGTGATACATTGTTGCCTGCCCAGCCAATTTCCTCGCCTGCATGTATCATGTGACTACTCCCTCATACATACACTGGCTCTGACGCGCGTCAAGCTGTCTTGTCATACATTGAACCTGTTCCACCTCGCACGGCCTTGCCTCTTCTTCATACATGATACTGATGCCCAAGGACACCATCTCCAAAGGCGCGCTTATAACTGTGCAGCGCGTGTGGCATTCGACGTTCGCCTCTCGCCCTTCTCCTGTCTCTCCTGGCCTTCACTTGTTCCCCTTGCGGTCCTCTGTTTCTCTCTCATGTCCCTCGGGTAGCCGTTTGATATATACTCCCTACCCTGCTTACGTTCATTCGGGCGATGGGTAAGTAGCAGTGTTGCAGTATGCTTTATTGTAAGCTTACCACGATGAGTGCAGGGCTATGTATCGTATACCTCAAAACCACGGCCTCTAGCCCACCATTATGTACGCTTCATTCGTTCTTCACACAGCCTTCACTGATTTTTGCCATAGCTCTCCTTATACCCGTGTAGCGAGCAATCCTCGATGTCAATCCGCAACTTATTATGACGCCCTATCAAGAGAACATCGTCGGATGTGTGGCAAATGCGTATGTGGCATAATACACCAGATTAGCTCTAGCCTGATCTTTTGAGGGTAGGCTTTGGAGCACGCATTTTCGTCGCGGCCCGTCATGTGGTTGATCGTTCAAATCAAGACCAACACTTCGTCCTCTGCCGCGCACGCCAACGTTACCCGAACCACGCGGCGGCGCTGGTTGTCAGATGAATCGTGTACGAGCTCATCGTAAACTATCTTCTTGTACGATGCAATATTGTGTTGCGTTGCAGGTCTGACTGTCTTTATGCACACCCGAACAACTAGCCCCGCTTCTACACGAACTCCTTGATCACCTCATGATAACGTACCGTGGCCAATATGGCCCAGGACTTGCTGTATATACACATAGACTATGCACAGTTCTTAGGGCTTGAAGGGGATGTAAAATAGACTATCATCCGCGTACTATGCTCCTCGTATGATTTCCGGACGAGGACCACAGATCTACACGTCAGTCATACTGTGTATGATTGAGCATGTGGAGTACCATGTGTCCTTGCAATGCACAAAATGTAATACGCCGCACGGGGCAGACTTATGACAACAGCGGGCGCATTCAAGGTGCACGTCAGCCGGCCTATATGTGACAGGTTGCGATCTGGTATCGGGAAGCAAAAAGATTCATAGAATAACGAGGCCGTGTCGTACAGTTATGATGTGCTGATGGACAAGTCTCCGTCTACTACATCGTTCTGTTCTAACTCGTCTTCGTCTAATTCGTCGTCGCCATCATCGTCCGAACTCTCCGCGTTGACCGCGCGTTTCTGAGCTGAGAGGTGGTGAGCCATGGGCGCCGATTGACATGGTCGAACAACTCACCCAGTTTAGCCGCCGCCTTCTCCTGCCGGGATTTTCGTTCACGCAACCACTTCGTGAAGACTTTGTCTACCAGAAATATGAGTGGTATGATTTCCCGCATCGTATCAGAATACTCACCTGCTTCGGGGGGCACTATTTCCTCGTATTCCTGTATCCAATCCTTGCTGATGCCGTAGTGCTTGAGGAGGGGGATCCATCGGCCGGCAAACGACTTTGCAAGGTCCTGATACATTCGTGCTTGTTGCAATCCATACGCCTTGAGGCCCCGAGCAATCCGCGAGCTCGCAAGTAGAGGCTGATCTTCGGAGTTCAATCGGTGAAGCCACTGTTTCTCCCACCATTGAGACTTATTGCATAGAAACACAAGCACTCGCCGCATTTCCTCTTGAAGTAAGATCAGTTCTTCGTCGTGCCGATGAACCCGTGCGCGCTGCCGTGCCCACTCGCCCCGGAGGTAAAGTTCACCACCCTTCTTGTCAGTTGTTTCATTCGGTGTATGGTCTTCCGATCGGTCGTCGCTGGGCAAGGTCCAAATCCAAGATGGGGTACGGTGTCGCTCTGATTCCTCGTCCGGGATCGTGTCGTCACGAGAAGGACCACGCAGATCCTCCTTGCGAAGTTCCTTGTAACGAGAGCACCATGTGCCGGCTGGGTCGAGTTTTGTGAGAGACTTGTATGCCACACGATAGGAATCCGCTGCGAGCTTGAGCCTACGTGACACAACGTCGATGAGCGTACGCGATCGCGTCCCGTCACGTTGGCCTGTATATAATTATGGTTAGATGGGGATGCACAAACATAAGTGTGAGACGTACTGCCAGCAGTATGCTTAGCCTTTCGCCGGAGCATCCCCAACGTCCGAAGGAAGCGACGGACGTTGATGAGACCATCTCTCATCATCGCGTCGGCGAATCTTCTCTCGGTATCCGTGACCCCGCCAAGACATCCGTACTCCCGGCGTGCTTCGTCCAGGTTTGATGGCAGGAGGATCGGGAGGTCCTCAGCCTGCTTTGATGCGTCAGACCCGTCATCTCCGCTGAGCTTTGCCGATCGTATGGCGATGGAGCCAGGCATATAGACATTTTGGACCTCATAAAAGTCGAAGACACGGCGGCGAAACGTAGCGCGTTTCTCCTGTAACGTGGCCTTCTCCCCTTCGTTTGTGCTACTGGTCGTGTCGTCAACAACAAGCTTTAGTTTCCGCCTGGAAAAGCTATGTTATCACAAATCATTCTTATATTAAGAGACCACGTACCGCTGCATCAGCAATGCAAACGCTTGTTGCACGAACGCGCTGGGAGAAATCTCGTGGAGCGCTGTCTTGTGCATGTCAATACTTTCCTCCTCTTCCTTCGCAAGCTCTTGCCTGAGCTTATTGACGTTGACGGCTACGGTGTACACAGTATAAGTCTCGTCAATATTCACGGCACGCGCAACACAAACCTTCTTCGATCTCCTCGTATGGATTCGGCTTCGTTGGATCAGATTCCCATTGCTCGATCATCAGCTCCCAGCCTCTGATCGTCTCCACGTCAAACCGCTGGCTGAAGTCTTCGAGGACCGCGTGATGCTTCAACCCTTCCTCAAGGGTAGTGGCGAAGGATTTACGGAATGCATCACCTGAGAACCATGATCATTTCGTGCTTGAACGATAGCAAGAGAGTAGACTAAAGATATACGAACCGAAACCCACAATCTTGCGGAAATTCCAGAAATTCCAGTGATCGTCGAGGGTAAGTCGTCGGGCACTTCGGCCCATTTCCACCGTGCTGGTTGCTAGCCCACCAATATGGGCCCATTCCTGTTCTACGGTCTCCCCGTGCGTGAGGCCGACGAACCTGTGTAGGAGAAAGTAATATAGGGCTCGGCACAACGCCTTGTGATCACGGATGTGCATGCTTGGGATGAAGAACCTCAACTTGATACCACCGAGCGAGGCGAAGGAGGCCGGTAATTTTGCATGTCTTCGCCACAAGTTTTGCTTCCATTGACACGCAATATCGTAGCTGACTGTAACGGGAAGTGGCGCACCCATACGCTGTAAGGTCGTCCAAAAGACATAATCAATGGTGACATATCTGCGCATGTTTGAGTAACAGATATACACAACTGCACGAAGCGTACCTCTCTCCACGTTGTAAATCGGCGACACCGTGGGGTAGCATCAGGGCATGTCTGCTGCATTTCGCAGCAGCCGCACCCGACACCGCCATGACGTCCGTTCGCGATTTGGTGCTATTGATATTTTTGATCGCGTTGAAGTTTGAGTCGCACGGATCTACTTGCTGTGGCCAAACGTGAGATGCGACTATCCTGTATGATTGTCGCCGACTCACCTCAGGTTCTTCGACGTAAGTTTGAAGGTGCTTCTGATACGCTTTCTCTTCAACGAAATAACCCTCGCCGCTTCCGATATCAGCATCATCGATTTTACGGTTCTTGTTCTTCATCTTGAAACATGCATCTAGAGCCACGAATTGTGTATAGATCCATCTGGAAATTAATCAATTTCTGCTTGACCAAACATCAAAACCACGACTTTAGGAGCTTACTTGACTTCTGGTGGAGCTTGATCCCAGTCAGGCGGGAGATTCCAGAGCGGTTGCGGACACGCCGGACAGAGAACAGCGAGGCCTCCTAGAGGAATCGTTGTAGTCCCCTTGGGAACATGCCCGCGGCCGGCCCTCTTGAGGCGCAGAAGATAGAAATATTGGCGCGTCGCCAGCGTTGCTTCATGGTAGCGGAACTGCGTAGATTGAATACATGTGATGACCAACTGAATGTGAAATGTGCACTTACCACGCGGTCCTTCAGCCCGGCAATGTCTGTGCTACAGATTGTAGCCAGCAAAAAGTCATGTAGGGTGATCTTGCCCTGAAGCGTCAGCTGATGGAAGTTGTCCAGTAGTCGGAACGTGAATGCAGTCCGTGGTTGTCGAACTGAGGCGGGGTAAAGGCCGATGTCGAGAAGTTGTTCGCGTGCGGTTCGTACGTGCGGAACCTTGCAATTACAGTACATGAGAGTCACGTAATGATAGCCGGTAGTGTCGAAGACTAAGAAATCCTTGTGAGCTGGGATAGAAGCTGAGCAATTGGTGCCGTCGGGATGCCCTAGCTGGATCTCGAGACCCAACTCTTGCAGCGTCACTGGCTGGAAGTGATCGTTCTTCCACTCCTTCGACTCTTGTGAGGCCATGCAACAGAAATATGTGAGTAGATGCACACCTTGACATTATGGAACGATTGCCATTGATGCAAATCGACCATACATTCCGCGCACAGCATACGATCTCCGTGACAGTCATCACACCGGTATAGACCCTTCTTCGATACATCGTGGCACTCGAGACAAGGAATGGGTTCGGTCGTCGATAGTGCGTCTCGAGCAAGGAGGTTGTCGAGGAATTCGGGGCAGTACGGGTACCACGAACGCATGCGACTCTGACACGAACATTGAGTACATGTCTTCATCATGAATGCAAAGAACGAGCTCACCCCGAGCGTATGAGTCTTCTTCTTCGGTTCCGTCCGCGCTCGTTTCTTGCGCGCTTGGGCCATAGTCTCCGACACGTCGATATCCTGCCAATCGCCATCGTTCGTTTGCTCACAAGGGCAAGTATTGGGTGCGTGTGCAGGTTCAGGAGAAAGTGTACGGGCGCGCTTTTGAGTTGATGAGGTAGACGCGAGGACACGTCCATCCCTCGCTGCTTTAAGAACAATGGACTTTGCGACATGCGACGGAGCACGGGGGGCAGAGCGGCGTCCGGTAGCTTGAAAGGTTGGTAGCTTGGTCTTACGGGCCATGCATCAATACTGGCAGGCACAATCGGTGAATGTGTATGACGGCGAGTGGTGAAACGTTCAAGTCCATGCAGTAGCTTGTAAGACGAAGGCGGGCGCGGAGCTGCTACGCGCTGTGCTAATCGTGTGACCCTACCTACTGCATCGGTGAGGCTTTTGACCCAAAACGGCACTTTGTCGATAGCCTCGACGGTCTCACATGTCTCATACCATCTCAGAGAGCTATATTCGTGAATTTTGAAGTAGAACCCATGGTCAGTGTACTGCTATATACTATGTTGAATTTCTCGGTCAATGGAAATATGACAAGAATCTAGTAGCAACGCGATCATCGCCGCCAAAGTCGCTCTATCAAATCGCTCGTCCGGTGACCAAAATAAACTTCGGGGCTACTGAAGGTCAAGTCATCACATCTAATATCCCTCGATGCTGATATCAGTAGACGATCTGCACATTCTGGGGCAAATGAATGCGAAATTCAGTACACAACTTTCGAATGTTCGATTCCAAAGTTGAATGCTCGTGATATACTGTACACACATCCCGCCTCAGCATGTTTGCGATCAGGGTCATTAAGCGAACATGTTGCGTATAACTTGTCACCAACCCCATTGTACTAGTAGTTAGTTGTGTCAGTTGTGTAGCTTATGGTAGGTAGGTGTCATCTCCAATCTGTGCGCATGCGCGAACAATTGTCACACAATGTGCTCCATGCACACTCTGATTGCTTGCTCATAGTTGACTTCTCAGCGATATACTGTAGATCTTCTGGGTAAGCTTAATGAATTATAACATAAACACATCGCGAAAGCGAGTCGTACTCAGCTTAATGGGATGAGGCGGTCTGTAACCGCATTTCGTTCGTGCCGCATTCCATACACTGAAGTTGCTCCTTCAGCTATCATCTCTTTCAAACATTCTTTCGCGATCGATAGACTATATATGAGACTTTCCATCATCTCACCTGACCTCTTGACTTACACTATAATCTGCACCGGTTAACGACCGAATGCTACGAGCATGTGTGGCCAGCGCTAGATCACAACGAACATGCGCGCGGTGCTCCATTACGCTCATGTCCTGTCTTCATGTTCCACTCCGGCACTCGCAACGTCCTTGTAGCTATGGTTCCAGCGCATCCACAACTTCGAGCTTGGTACATCATGCATGGCACTATGTCTCCTCGAGTCCAAACAGCTGTTACGTCCCGGCACCGAGGTGTTCTATGCTGCGCTGCACATCTTCTGGTCTGGCTCGGTCGATACTCAACACGGAACAATGCCTCATGCACCAATTTATACATCATGCTATACGGCGAACGCTGGATGCCAGTCATCGGCAGCATGGTACTACGTCTCCTCGAGTCCGAACAGCTGCTACGTCCTGGCACCGAGGTGCTCTATGTTGCGCTGCAGATCCTGCTGGTCTGGTTCGGTCGATACTCAACACGGAACAATACCTCATGCGCCAATTACATAGGTAGATATGGAAATGTACCTCAGTCAAGTTAGGCCCCGCGCGCATGGTTCCTGGTGCATGAAACTCGGGTTGCGTACTTGAGGTTCTGAACTCACTAACAACTCTAGCTTGCGAAATTCTCTGAACATGTATGGCCAGCACTAGATCACAACGAATATGCGGTGCTCCATTGCGCTCGCATCCTGTCACTCGCAACATCCTTGTAGCCCTGGCTCGAGCACATCCACAACTGCGAGCTGGGTACATCACGCTATACGACAAACACTAGGTGTCAGGTGTCGGCAGCATGGCACTGCGTCCCCTCCAGTCTGAACAGCTGCTATGGTCTGGCACCAAGGCGTTCTATGTTGTGCTGCACATTCTTCTGGTCTTGTTCGGTCGATACTGAACACAGAACCATACATTATGCGCGATCCAAAGGATGAGATGTGGAAACCAAATGACGAAACTTCTTAGGAGCGAAGTCCACAACGTGGAACCGTATTCACCGCGTGCACTGTCTTGCATATGTAGTAGTCAAGATCGGGTATATTGCGAGCATTGACCTACATACTACATTTTTATCTGGAACGACAATCGGCGACAGTGTATGTGAAAACTATGGAGCGGGGGTGAAAAGGCGACAACGATAGCGACAGCAACGTACACGCGCACAGCGAACGGAGGCGGCTACAACTAACGTACACAGACGGCTCAAGATGATGATGCGAGACGAGTCAAACTATGTATACATGAGCAGTTCAAGAATCCGCTCTCAGGCCGCGAGGGGCTCACACGATGATGGAGACGCGGCCTGCCTGCAACGCAATGATGTAGGCGTCCTCAGCAGCCTGACGAGAGGTGTGATGGCGATAGATCGCCCCAGGCACACCGCTCACGAGCGTAGAGACGATGTCCCTGTTGTCAAGGGTCAGTAAAGGCATGAAATATAAGCTGTAAGTACTTTCCAGCTTGAGAAGACGCCAACGGAGCGACCGCGGATAACCGTGTACCATCGTATATCGCTAGTGGAGGCCTCACCGACCTCATCACAAGCAGAGTGAATGTCACCTCCACTGCTGCAGGGAGCCGAGGAAGCGGCGGTGGAGGCTGATGCGGCGCATGCCGAGGGCTTGACAGTGTGAACGTTGGGCATGATCGGGATGACGGTCGGTCCCGACGTTTGAACAGAAATCGAGCCGCCCGCAGACAGCGCTGCCAGGCTATTGCGAAGCGTGTCGATAGGAGACGACAACTCCTCGTGAGTCTGGACATGCTGACGAGGGGGCGCATAGACAGTCGGCGGAGGCGGGGGCGGAGGCGGGGACGAAGGCGAAGCGTCTTCCTCGTTGTCGCTGTCTCCCGTGTCATCCTGTGATTCTGTATCAAAGGTATTAGTGTGATCCAAGCTGTAGCTGCAGACTTACCCATGTACAAGCGGTTCAGGATGTCGGCGATATGAGCGATCGCTTCATCAAGCTCGGTGCGCCGCTGTCAGGGAAGAAGGGACTTAGTATAGCATAAACCAGGGAATAGCTACGCACGGCTTTTCCACGCTTGGACTTGACCATGGATGCGATGGTACGAGAGGAAGGGTGGCGTGCAAAGAACTACAGAGGCGGGGACAGAGGCGGGGAGCAAACGAGAGGGGGCTTGACGAAAAGCAGGGCGAATGCGGGTCATTTTATGCTCCGAGGCTGGAAACCTCGGCTTTAAGGTTGAGTTTGAGGGCACGGGAGCCTAGGAAGGCGCCAAGTACTGATTGGGAGCACTCTTTGCTGCAAACGGCGACCGTGGGAGCGCGCCAGGCATGAGGCCGCTTGACTTCGGCAGTTTGCTGTAACGTTCAAGTCATTCTACTTTCCTCAACGTGTTCCAAGTCAAACAAACTACCAGAGATAATGACCCTGTATGCTCCGTGTTCTCCGCCGACGCGAGTCAGCAAACGCCATGCGGTACTCTGGGAATACATGAGGTCAATTGATATTTGACAAGACTCTGCAAATGCAGTTGAGTTGCCAAGGCCTCACCCAGCTTCCGGTACGGCATGAGCCGTTGCGACATCCAAGTCATACACATTGCTACGATCTGAGCCTCATGCAGGCCACGATCCCTGGTTGTGATACAAAACGCGGCAATTATAACGAGCTTCGTCCTTGAGAACGATCTTCGGCTGGGTTATGTGATGCCCTAGGCGTAGACAATCAGCTCAGAGTTTGACAAAGAGTCTGCAAATGAGGTTTAGTCGACGAGATAATACCTTGACGTTCTGTCATATGTGTTGCCACGACCCGAAGCTCTTGCAGGCTGCCAGCCCTGTCTGTAGCACAACGTCAAGCAATCACGAGGAGCTTTCCCCCTGAGAATGATCTTCGGCCGGGGATGCTGCGAGTGCCACGCGGTGCCCTTGAAACGTAGAAGATCATCACAAAGTTTGAAAAATACTGCAAATGTGGTCGAGTTGGCAAGACGATACCTTGGCTCTGGTGCGGTCCGGCAAGCGTGTTTGGGACATTCATATCATACACGTTGCCATGTATTGGAGCTCATGCATGTTCGCGAGCCCGATCTGAGGCGCGACGGGGAGAAATCACGGCAAGGATTCTTCTGAAGTTTGATCTTCGGTAAGGTGATGCATTGCATGCCACGCGGCGCCCGTATTTTGGGCCAAGGATTGCGAACTTCAGGATAACCCTGCGTCCGGTAAGTGCGATACGACCCATTCGAGATGTTGCCGCCACACGCCACACACTGTATCATCTGTTAACGACAAGAGGGCCTCTTGAATCCGCCATCCGGCACGGTAGTATGCGAGGACCGATCAGGCGATCTCCGGCGAGCTGGGCAATGTTCCGTGAGATCGTCTGGAGACTGGAAAGTCCCAATGGAATGTTCATGATCATCCTCTGTGTACGCGTTTCTCGACCGGAGATACCAGAACGAGGATTGAAAGACATCACCGAAGGGATGAGAGAAGAATCGACTTGGAGAGTTCGCAACCTAAACTGACGCGGAATTGCTGTAATCGTATCTTTGAAGCATAACCATTGACAGAACTGGAAGATATTGCGTGAGCGTGAACTAGACCCGGCGACAATTGGCGAAGTATGTATAAGACACGCGATGTCGCACCGACGATTTCTTTCGCCAGTCAATCAATCCTCCCCCGCACTGGTACCTTGTAATATCTTCTGCTTGGGTTTCATACCGTTGCTGTCGTCTTCACTATGACTAGAAAAACTGTCTTCTCCGACGAGGAGCGCGATTGGATGGAAGACTACATGGATGAGTACCGTGAGAACTCGACGGAGCGCAACCTCAACGACTGGTTTCTCTTCTTGACGCCATTGTGGTTCTTGGCCTTTCCCGAGTCGCCTACGCCCGAAGAGCTCGCAAGTTGTGGTGGTAACGCCAATGAGGCGGCGATGCACCCGGACTGCGTTCAGCGCCGTTCCGAGCGGATGGAGGTGAGTAATTAGGCTTATCTCGTGACGATAATTCACTGACCTCCGTATGCAGCAGGTCCGCAACTGGTTTGGCAACAACTCCCGGGTTCGCCCTTCCGGTCCCGCTGTGCCTGGTCTGGCACGTCCGGCCCGCTCGTGCATTCTCAAACCTGCACGTAAGCCGAAGAAGCCGCAGCTGTATCAAGCATGGATGCGCGTTGCAATGGCTGACAAGGACCTGAAGACTACGTTCGATGAGGCTTGGAAAAAAGCGAAGGGAGAAGGCTGGTCAAAGAAGCAATCGGTATGTTCTTGTTCTGTCGTCCTTGATGTGAATATTTAACTTAACACATGGATTAGCTCAAATTCCAGCGTCAATTCGCCGATGAGCATATGCCACACAGCGACCCCATTACTATGGCCGCCGTGCATGCCTATCGTGACCACGGCTACCTGTTGAAGGACGAGTCACTCATCAGCTTCGACGATGACAAGGAAGAAACACGCTACCGACTGGCTTCCGCCAAACAAGAGTAGGTGGTGACCCCTATGTCTTGATTTTGCTGCTAATATGATCGCGTTCCTTCAGAGCTATCAACAACCTTCCCTTTACTTTGACAAGAATGCTTGACAGCTGGGCTCTCGAAACCGGATGGCACTTCTCGATCATCGCAGGCGGGCCGTTACCCAGCTTAGGCGGCAAGTTGAGGACATTATAGTAAGTCGACTCGGTTATGCCGAAATCGTGGGTTTTCAAGTAGATCTAATATCTTTCGATAGCTATGGATCAGGTGTCGATCGCGCGGGTCACAGGTTCGCGACTTCCAATGCCAAATTCCGGGAGGAATGGGAGGGCTCATTCTCCAGTTTTTGCGAGAGATCATGGAGTAAGTACCAACTTCCTACTCACAGTTTTCCATGTCTGATCTTTTTACTTAGCTAAAGAACAATGCGCACAACTTGATATCCGTTCCGCGGAGGACCGCGACTCCTCTGAAGACGCTGAAGCATCATCTTCTTCAAGCTGTGCTTCCGTCGCAGCTACCGATGAGCCTCAGCCCGCCTGCATCGCGGCTACCGTTGAGCCTCAGCCCGCCCCCGTCACGGCTACCGTCGAGCCTCCGCCCGCCCCCGTCGTGGCTACCGTTGAGCCTCAGCCCGCCCCCATCCCCGCTACCGTCGAGCCTCCGCCTGCTCCCGTCCCGGCTACCGTCGAGCCTCCGCCTGCTCCCGTCCCAACTTCCGTCGAATCTCAGCCCATCCCCGTCCCGGCTGCCGTCGAGTCTCAGCCCGTCCCCGTCCCGGCTGCCGTCGAGTCTCAGCCCGTCCCTGTCCCGGCTACCGTCGAGCCTCAGCCCGCCCCGATCACGGCTACCATCGAGCCGCAGCCCGCCCCCGTTGCTGGTTTCATTCAGGATGCTACGGGTGCTATTGCACGCCCAGGGTTAGCTGCTCGCGAGGTCTTGCAGCCTATGAACATAGACATGACATACATGGATCCCGCGGCCTTCCAATACCCAAATACCTTGAACTTCGGCACCGTGGATCCGACGGTTTTCTCCGCTTTTGATTCCAATTATGGCGCCATGGATCCTATGTTCTATGGTTCGAGTGCTTATCCTCAAGACTTCAGCTACATGAACGCACTTCTTGATCTCCCAAGCATCCCAGAACACCCCTCTGGAGCTGTAGCTGCTCTCCATTCGCCGGTGCCGCCGGCGTCTGTCGCCCTCCTTCCTCCGGTGCCGCCGGCGTCTGTCGCCCTCCTTCCTCCGGCTGCTCTTGGTTCTGCTCATCTTTCCCCGGTATCTACAAGCTTGTCTGAGTCATCTGCCACTGTGCCCACCACTTGTCAACCAATTTCTTCCGATGTTACAGGCAAAGCAGCTACTGCAAACGAACCGGATGTCCGCTCTTGTGCCGAAATCTTGCCTCCGCCCACTACCGCTGCGGATCCCAGCCCTACCCTGCCTCCGCCCACTACCGCTGCGGATCCCAGCCCTACCCTGCCTCTTGAGAAAGCGCGCGTAACATCCTCCAACTCTAATCGGCCTGTAAGCGTCCGCGTGTCCACGCGAACTCCCAAAATCAAGATTAACGGCGCAAACGGGTTTGTCGTTGACTTCTCGCTTTCCACTGCCAAGCTCGTCAAGCACATTCGGGCTTCCCCGGACCTGCCAGATTATTTTGTCGATACTGTTGCCTTCGTAGCGGACTCCGTGACGCGTGCCGACTTCCACGCCATGCTCCGCGCCTTCATTCTGTTTGAATCCAAGGGCCGCTTTGACAGCCGCAAGGTAAATCCCCGTCCTCAAATCCTTGATCGAGCCCACTACTCACCGGTCATTCATTCTCTAGGGTAGTACAACATCCGCAATGCGACCCTCCATGACCACTAAATGGATGTCGACGAAACGCACCGAATATACTGTCGTCAGTGCAAATCCTGTCGCAGACGCGCAGGCGTGGTGTGGCTGGTATACCGCAATTCAGCCCGATTGGCGCCGGAAAGACGCCATGCCGCATTCTCGCGAGCTTCCGATCGATCAGGCCCCAGACTTCCCGGAAATCAAGACCGGTAGAAACGGGGTTGTCGTGGTTTTGCTGACTTTGGTCTGGATCTTCCTTGGCGCTTCGGCGCAAGGTGATTCTGACGTGTGCAGCAAAGTCTTCGAAGCCGTTGACGACATGACATGGATGCTCACCACAGCCATGAAGGGGCGTGGAGACACGGAAACTGTGTCTCGGCCTCGCAAGTATGTGTGATCTTGTCATACCGGGATCATCGCTCACAGGGTTTCCAAGCAGAAGAGCTGCCAAACCCAATGACGAAAACCTGCAACCCGCGAAGTGCGTGCTCGATCCGTTTCCTGAAGTATCTGCTGACCCATGCATTCTGCAGGAAGATGCGTAGAACTCGTGCATAGATGACGAACATGCTATGCATACTCGCCTCAGCCTCAATGAACATTCTGTATACCTCGATTTTCCCTCACTGTGCCGCAATAATCGTGTACGTTATCTGTTTCGTGTTTCTCTACACCCTCTCTTGCACGCGGTTGTCCATAATTGTCTCGAGATCGTCCCTCTTCTAGTGTACGATTACTATTCAATATGTGTACACAGTATCTACATACCAACGAAAATCCGATCTGTGTTTCAAAACGTGAACTGGGGACATCGGAAAGATTGAGCCGCTAATCCATGAGACAGGGGAACATGCCACCCGATAGCGATATCAATACCCTCCAGGTAATATACCTACATCTGCAGCCAAAAATATGATCCGAAGCTGCAGGTCACAGCCCATTTATTACACGAAGTACCGAGACGACTGCCGCCAGCGGTGTTGCGGGATCATCTATGATCGAGGTCAGCAGGACCGTGATGACGGGCGCGGAAGAAGTTGCAGGAGCATGTATGATGCGGCAAGAAACCACGCGAGAATTGACGCAGACGAAGTTGGAGGATCATGTATGATGTGAGCAAAGGGATCGTGGTGCCCGGTGCCGGCGGTGTTGCGAGAGCGTGTATGATTGAGGCATCAGGGATGTGGGGACGGGCGCTGACGAAGTTGCAGGAATGTGTATGATACGGGAAGGAACCATGCGATGCTCGACGCAGAAGAGGGTGAGGGATCATGTATGATGTGAGCAAAGGGATCGTGGTGCCCGGCGCCGGCGGTGTTGTAGGAGCGTGTATGATTGAGGTAGCAGGGATGTGGGGACGGGCGCTGACGAAGTTGCAGGAATGTGTATGATACGGGAAGGAACCATGCGATGCTCGACGCAGAAGAGGGTGAGGGATCATGTATGATGTGAACAAAGGGATCGTGGTGCCCGGTGCCGGCGGTGTTGTAGGAGCGTGTATGATTGAGGCAGCAGGGATGTGGGGACGGGCGCTGACGAAGTTGCAGGAATGTGTATGATATGGGAAGGAACCATGCGATGCTAGACGCAGAAGAGGGTGAGGGATCATGTACAATGCAGACCAAAGTATTTCGGCACCCAGTGCAGCTGACGTTGCGGGAGCGTGTATTATCCAGGCTGGATCGCGGCGACAAATGTGTACGAAGTTGCGGGAGCATGTATAATGCGGTAAGGAGCCACGCGAATATTGACGACGACGAAGTTGCACGATTATGTACGATGCGGACAGAATTTCGTGGCGACCGGCACCGACGGTGTTGCGGGAGCGTGTATCATTGAGCCAGCAGGATCACGGTGACGGACGCGGCCATGCATCAGTTAAAGCGGACCCACTTCATGGTATATGTATTACGCAGACAGGTGAAGCAACGGTGGCCGGCGCGTGCATATTGTTGAAGTATGTATGATCAATACGATGTTGGCGGACTATGTACAACAGCTAGAGGTCGGGCGGTGGATTCGTATGATTGGGAGGACGAGTAATCGGAGTGGTGACATGCTGGATTATGTTCGATGCGCAACACGTACGGGGAGCTGGCAATGCTCATGTCATGGCGGAAGGGGGATGAATGATGTCGAGGAAGTTAAGGGGCCTTATGTATAGCGTGAAAACCACAAATGAGTGTGTACGTTTGACGACAGTAGTCACCAGCAGTGATGGAACAGCAGATGCTTGTACGGGGAGAACATCAAGGGCAACCTTGAACAGGTGAGGGAAGGCATTCTGGTGTGCCTACAATGCATGAATGAGCTGGCGAAATTTCAAGAATGATAGGCCTACTTACATCCCAGAACGTGATCAGGTCGCTTGTAGTTGAGCGTTCCAGATCGGATGTTGTGACCCCTAGCTGTTCATACCGGCGCATCTCCTCTTCAACAAGGCTCTTGTCTTGCCTACGGCATGTCTCTTCTTGCTGCTCAAGATCGGCAGCACTGGGCAAGGGTGAGGGCGAGGATGAACTCGAGAACAGTGACAAGCAAGACATCGTCGGAGAACCACGGCTTGATGCCGGCCTTTTCGAGAGGTTCAGAAGACGATTGAAGCCTCTTGTCTGAGCCGCAACCGCCGAGTTAGTGATGGAATCAGACAAAGAGCTGCTACGGCGAAGTGGCTCCGCATTTTTTGATGTGGGTGCGCTTGCACGACGGCTCTCACGACAATATTCCAGCATCTGCAAGCCAGACGTGATGAGCTATAACCATCGGGGACAAAGAGCTGAACACATACGGCGTCAATCATCCATGAACGAGCCTGTGCTGACTCGTTGGCGGTCCAATGTTCATTGATCCACTCGAGCTTCATGCCGGGGTTCAGGACTGGTGGCGCGTCACATATCATTAAGGAGAAGAATCACGACTTAACATATACGTACTCATCGCCAGAGCATAGATACGAGACCGGCGTGAGTACAATAGGTACTCTTTTAGTTTTGAAATCCCAACGTTGATGTAAGTGATCAGGTGTGGGAGTTGAGTACGAAGGTCCTCCCAGCCGTCGATGAGCAGTTCGTAACACGGAAGGGCAAGCGAGAGGGTGGGTGTCTTCTCAGCAGAAAGGATCTCTTGTGCAGCGTGAGGGTACCGGAGAATAAGGTAAATATCTCGGAGGACCCGCCTCTCATGCTCGTCGAGTAAATGAGCGAGATCGAGCTCATTCTCGATGAAGAAACGTGCGACAGCCTAGTAACTTCATTCAGCCATAGAGATGCGAGGTATGCATGAGTAACATACCGGATATAGCACAAGCAGACGAAAGATCATGAGAAATGTTGCTGACCATCGCGTCTCGCAGTCCCGTAGAAGCTGAACCTCCGGAAGCTCGCCTCCGGTTTGCAGGTCATCAGCCATAGAACCTTCGTCGAATGCCCTTTGGGGCCATGACTTGGTTCGATTGCCTTCATGGATGGAATGCTGTAGTCCAGCACGGCGCTGGCCAGAGCTACGGCAGTCTCCTACAAGCTTGCGGGTGCGGCCAAGTGGATCACCCGAGAGAGCGTCTCGGTAACGTTCCCATTCTTTCCGAACAGCGGGGTCAGTATCATCTGGGAGACTGTCGATGTATTCATCCAGAGGTTCAGTCGCATTGTCTTTCAGTTCTCCAAGAATATTCTGGACCGCAATGTTGACAACGTGCGGGAAGCATCTACCAGGATTAAAGTTGAAGAGCAACCACAGCGAAGATACTATTTCAGGCCCACCGTACGCGGTTTCCGTCACGATGAAACGGTATGTTAACAACCGTGAATTTACGCTCTAATTCTGCCATCATCGTCCCGCAATTGCTTGCGTTGTCAAGGGTTATCTGGCCAGTCTACAAATAGTCCCAGTTAGGCAGCCTGTTTGGATGATTAGAACATGATGGTACCTTCTCGAGTAATCCAGCCTCCTTCAGAACATTGAAGAATATATCCGCCAGGTTGACGCCCGCATGCGAACCCTCCACATAGCGGAAGGCGAGCAGTGCCGACTGCAGCTTGAGGCGACCTTCATTGGAGTCCCGTGATATCCAATGGGCCGTGATTGCGAGGTACGACCGTAGATTCGGATCCGACCACATATCGGTGGTGTACGAGATTCGCCCAAGGGATCGCTGGCGTAGTAGAATATGAGTAAGCATGATCGCGAGAGGTATACATGAAGAGTACACACCTTGAGCTCTCCTAGAAGGTCGGCGTGTTCGCGCTTATACAGCTCCAACAACACACGACCCATCTCTGTATTGCTAGGTATATTGTTGTCTTGAAGACCTGAGCCGGCACCGACATATGTAACGAACTCCCGGAAGGCGGGATTTTCCACAACGTTGAGTGACTGAAATCATAAGTTAGCAATGTCTCATCGCAATAGGCTCATTTGGTGGACCTGATCGTCGACGGCAATCCATTGCATCAACCTCTCGATCATCCCCTCAACCGTAAACGGCTCCTGCTCCCTCGGGGATGACGACTCTGCTCGACCACTATGCTGGTCCAGGATCTTCTTATATGCTTCCCATTCCGTCCCATGATGGCCTCTCAGATGACGCCGTAACGTTGAGACAACACCGTCGTAATTGCCCCATGTGCGCCAGCTATGCTTTCCTGGTCGTGTCTCACGGAGACATAGCCGGCATCCAAGATTCTTGTAAATCTTCTTGTTGGGGTGCTCCACGAGAGCTGGCCGCTGACGCATACACTCGACTTCGATGGTGGGAGGCTTTGTTTCATTCACGAGGGCCAAGATCCACGGCCAGACGTCCAGCGCAGCACGAGCTGAGGTGGTGTCACTGTCCGCGTTTGCGAAATGCGAGTCGTGAAGCTCCTGCGCGGATGTCGAGAAGATGTCCTGCTGCAGCTGCAGCGGTATCGGGACTGGGGTAACCATGGGGGTGTTTGCATGGAGATTGTCAGGTGTAGCAGTCTGCGAGGCGGCAGAAGGCCCAACTCCGCATGGTGCACTCGTGTCCGCCAAAGATGCAACCTAAACAATGGTTAGGACACACAGAACATCGAGCATGATAATGCTTTACTCACAGCAGCGGTCTGCTTTTGTCGCCGCGATGTCTTCGGTCTCTTAGACGCGGGCGGCGGATTGTCTGAGGAAGAACGTGTCCGTTTCTCTTGCCGTCGGGAGGGAGACACGTAGACTGCGAAGAGCGGCCTGTCCTCGCGTGGATGAGCATCCAACTCATGTGTAATGCGTGTATATGGTGCTGGCTCGGGTCCAGAGGAGGCCCTAGGTGTTTGTGGTTGGAGATAGAAGGGAGGAAGCGCGAAGGGAGCTGTTTGATGCAGTGTAGCATATGGCGGAGGGTAGTTCGGAGGCGCGTATGGGGCCCAGGACGTGTTGGAGGGCTGGCCATGATCCTGGGATGAGAAATGCGGGGGGGACATCATTCGGGCAAAGCCATGGGTTGCGTAGGCACCCGGGACTTCTGACTGACTCTGCATGTTCGAGGGGTTAGTTGTGAGCTCCTAAAGCACATACCGATCTTAAATTCCCCGCAAGGAACAGATATGTGCCCGCGGTGGGGTAGACATGTCATGATGGTGCAACAGATATATTGTGTGCCAATACGTGCACTCTGGTCATAGTATACATTGTTGCGGATTCTGATGCATTGAAAGGTGTATAGGCGCGAGTGTAGGCACTTCGGGGAGGTCAAAAGTTCAGAGTTTGTCGAGGAGACTGTCGAAAATGAGAATCGACGCCTTGGACGTGTCGCGTACACAAGATCACGTGATATCCTCCTGGGCCGGCTTTGAAGCGGCTCTGGGCCAACTCACTTGCACTGGGCTGACAGGGAGCCACGCGGCTCTGGGCTGAGCCGAAGCACGGCTCTGGGCTGGCTACGGCTCTTGGGAAACACTAGTGGGAGGCCCGCAATACTCGGAACTCCAGATGTCGACGCGAGCGCCGGGTCATAGTTTTCTTTTTCGTCTTTCCTACTCAACTGACTCGACCCGACTCCTTATGGTTCGAACACGGTACACTATGTTACGTGGCTTGAATAGCAAGACTCAAGCCAACTGGTGCAAGAATTGGATGGAGATGCGTTAGGCGCCCATTCGGCATCGGTGGCATCGTGACACCATATGTACACAGCTTCAACAGCATACCAGGCTCGCGCCGGTCCCTTTCACCGGGTTAGTTTCGTTTGCAATCTGATGTGGATCCTCGACAGAACAGGGGCGAGACTTGGTGTGATACACTTGTACATTTCGATGGACTCATTTATTGACGTACAGTGTGTTTGACTTCCATCTTCAGCACCTCACTATCTTCTGTTTCCTTGATATGGAAAAAAACCGCAGACCAATTGCATTGATGGTGCACTATTGCATTCACGGTGCATTGATAATAATATGTAGAGCCTCGACGGGGTGAGGACTGCTGTCAGGAGCGGTCGGTGGCACGAGGTCGCAGTCGTCCCGCGAGCCGATACTTATAATTAGTTGCTGTGGACACGCGCCAAACCCCCTGTTCAAAGGACTACCATGAGACTCAGAGAGGGCCGCTGCGTATGAGCGTTGCGCTCAAGCCCTCGAGACACCGTTGCCGGACCTGTTGACTGAGGAACCGTCGCCGATGAGTTGGGAAAGTCAAGGGGCGATATCCGACGACCCTATTCCGGCCTAATTCGCATGACGTGTCGGTAGCTCCGGGAAGTCCGTCGGCGCATGCCATGACTCGGACAGTGCAATCAGTAATAGAATGTATTATATATGAAGCCCAATAATCAACCCATGATAAGTAAACGTCCGCCTGTTTAGTGCTGCATTGCAATCTTGAAGTTCGTTAGGTCGACGCTGCCAAATCCGCTTGTATGCTCAGGAGACGCATCATGAGCTAAAGCCGTTGAGGATGTCCACGGCCTTGAGCGCCTCGCCTCGGGTGATGAAGTCGAGCAGCACAAACGCGGGAGCGCGACCAGCACCGAACGAGGTACAACCATTGGCGTCAGCAAGAATTCTGGAGGTTGCATGGTAAGTATATTGATGAGTAGCGAAGACGGGCGAAGGAAGAACTCACGAGGTAACGCCGTTAGTGGTCGCGGCATCTCTAGGGTCACTGGTGAGGATGCTATCGATGCCGAGCACCTCCTATGACACACACGCAGCGCGCATTAGTACCAAAACTGATCGAAAACGCCCAGAATAGCATTACCTTGTTCAGGTTGTGGTTGATCATGTACATGTGGTCGGCGGTGTCAAGCGGCCCGTTGATCCTGTCCACCTTGCAGGGGAAGGACGGGTCGGTCGACGAAAACGGCGGCTCCCAGATCATCTGGAACTCCGGCATGATGAAGTCGACATTGTCGGTCGCGTCGTCGGCGCCAGCGTCCATGAATACCACAACGCGCTTGCCGGATGCGATCATGTCGCCGAGCGTGGGCCAGTCTGACTGCTTGATCGGTGTCTGCGTGTATCACGGACGGATCAATGATAGGCATGCTGGAGCGGAACGAAAGATCTTACACCCGGCGTCGGAGGCACGAAGGCGATCTGATCGATTCCGGCCTCAACGAAGGCGGGTTTCCATACTTTATTCATGGAGAGACCATCACCGTTCGTGAAGAGGAGGGTAACCACCTCGTTCGGGTTTGCGTCCATGAACGTCTTGACCTTCTTCAGATAGTCGGATACAAGGCCTCCATCAAACAGAAACTACAGCTCATCAAGAAGTTGACCCGTGTCACAGAACGTGTCTACTCACGCAGCTCGTATGACAGAAGTGCAAAGCATCATCGTCAAGGGGGTCAGTATGAGCTTGCGCCTGGAGCATACGCGCGCCGAACTGAAGTTGCGACGGGATATCTATCTCCTGCGTCCTCGCAAGGGCTAGAGGATCTTTGGAGAAAAACGCGGAATCGTGCGAGGCGAGGTACGTGATGTTGGCGTAGGATCGGTCGCAAAACTCGGCGCGTCCATTGCACACCTGCGGTACGGTAAGTCTCTGTCATCCGAGCTGACTCTAATCGACTCGCCGTTGCCCGCTTGAACTTCTCCGGAATGATGGCTCCGTTCACTTGCGCGAGCGAACCAAGGAGGGTCGCCGCAGCGAGGAATGCCTTAGAAAGATGCATTTCTGACGGGATGGGCAGGTGCGACGAGCTTCAATCGTTTGGAGGTTGATTATAACAAGACGTCAAGGGAACGTGAGTACTGCGAGCGAACGAACGTGCGGCGAGCCGGCTAGCAGCAAGAAGAGACCAAACGCGTGAAACCACGAGAGAAGAAGAGGAAGAACGGCGACGAGCACGCGGACCCAGAAGAACAGAACCGGAAAAGCGAAGGCGGAATGACAGCAGACGCCCTCATCGCAGTCCGGATTTATAGGCATATGACTTTTGATGGCACACGCGCGTACGCAAGGCGTCCGATCTGGTGGGTGATGCGGCAACGCAAATCGGTGATGGGACCTCGAACGCGGTGGTCTCGACTGCATGATCAGAGTGTTGTCAGGTACACGGATCACTCAACGTACCGTGAAGAGCATCTGCAGGGGCTGTGAGATTGCTTACAAATTCACTCCGATGTACCTAGTCGTGCGTGAGCGCGAATTGCAAGCTTGGTTCATACATACACAGTGGTTTTCAATGAATACTCGGTCTATCGAGGATAGTGATGACATGTACGGCCCGCACCAGTTTCTGCACTGTCCTCAACCTTCAGCCCATTGAAAACGCTCGCCAAAGCCATTGTCGGGACGACATGAGATTGAGAAATGTGCCCTTACTTTCAGCCTCTGCTAGGTATGTTCTGGTTAGAGGACATGCATCTCCGGCGCATGTCGGCCCGGAACGAGGGGATGACATGTTTTCGCTATTGCGTACTCAGGATATACTGGCTACGAACGTCGTTCGATGCGACAGTTCAGGCGAAGATGCTGTCTATCTCTGCTGCGAACTTTTGCGGGGTTCCGCTGCGCCTTGGAAAGAAAAGGTTATCATACGCCCTATCATTTCAAGGAAGGCATCCTCACTTTATGTTTGACTTCTCCCCGGTCCTCGGTAATTCCCCTTCTTCGACAACAATGATTCGCTGCGGATCATCAACCCGCTCCCATTTGTATCTATCCTTGCCCCAGTCGGCCATTCGAGCAATTATCTCTCGCTTGAGCAAGCTTTTCTCGTCGACGTTTTTGTGGCTTTTGGTTTCAACGATGAAGACAGGCCAGGGCTGTCCCTGCCCAACAACAACGGCGTCATGGATGACATCGCCGCAGAGACGCCGCATGGCATCCTCAGTCGCGCTAGAAAGTGTCGTCACCTTCACGAGTAAAGCGGAGAATATGCGACGAATTGGACGTACATGGTATCAATAAAGCCTTGGTTTGTCTTGATCCAGTCGTTCGCTCGTCCTCGATATGCATAGCCGTCCCCATTTTCTCCGCTTTGGGACGTACCCTTCTCAACGAGCTCGAACAAATCGTTCGTATGATACCACCCATCAGCGCTATACATTGACTCATGCGGTCCATCGGGTGCCTCCGTGGGGAGAACAAGTTCGTAGAGAGGAATATCCTCTGAGCCGCCTTGATAAGGGATCATTTGCGCAAAGGTACCTGGGATGATGCGCAGAAGGCTGGCCGAGGGGCCGTATCCAATGTTGGAGATCATGAGGGTTGCTGTGGTGCAGTATCCGACGTACGATCAGGGTAGTGTGTGTGACATACCAGAATATGACTGACCACATTCTGACGTAGCGAAGTAATTCTGATGGGCATGAGAAAGTAAAGTCACGAGTATTCCCAATAGCAGACTTACTTGGAGCTTCAGCCCGTTTGTTTCGTTGTAACCCCATGCCTCGTCTTCACTCCCGAGGGGTGTACCCATGTACCAGATACGCCTCAGCTGTCGAAGCAATTGCAATACTTGTGCGTCTTTGCGAGCCTCCTGTAGAAGATTCGAGAGGAACGTGGAATACAGCATAACAGTGTTGAGACCGGCAACATTGACCAGAGCTTCAAGCTCCTTGGCCGTGACGGCAGGCCCGGAAGGTTGAACCGTGCACGACCCTGCTCGGATAGCACCAATCACGCCTGGGGATTGGATAAGAACCGGCGGTGCCGGTCTTGCACAATCGACTTACCGCACAGTGAACCAACATGGGCTAAGTTACCAAAAGTGTTCAAGAAAGTCGGCGACCCATACTCAACAACATCGAATGGCCCCCACTTGGCGTAAATTTGGTTGATCCATCGATGCGCCTGTGGAATTGTCTTCGGTAGGCCCGCGGTCGAACCGGACGTATGCCCGATAAATGCAGGATCCGTTGGGAGGACCGCCGGGAGCTTGTCGACGCGCAGATCCAACATGTTCAGTTCCGCGTGGGCGACGAGTGCATTGATATCAGCCCTCGAAATCGTAGAGAACACAGGAACAGTGAACTTGTGCGAGGGAGGTATGGATGAGACGTCGGAATCCTTGACGAATACGCGAGCCTGCGATGCGGCAAGCATGCTGGTTATCTGCCCCGCGGTGTAATTGGGGCTGAACAGCTGGGGTACGAATCCCATGGAGCAAAGGCTGAGAACGTTGACGATATCCGTATATTTCTTGCCAGTGAGGCTATGAGACATGTCAGCGCATTGTGACGCGCGGTTTCAACGAGAGTCGGCATACCAGCATCCAATGACATCTCCGGACTGGCAAACGGCCGGCTCAAGCACTTCGCGCCAGCGGATACAAGCAGCCGCAAGGTGCTGCTCCAGTTCGCGCATAGTGACCATGTCCCAAGAACGACCGTCTACGTACGGGCGGTATGCTGGCCTGTCGGCATACTGACGGAGAGCCTGTATGACATTGTGCATAAAGTGGTGGATCGAGGAAGGTGAAACCATCTTCAGTGATGTCAATGCAGGGGTGTCGTGGTTCGCCTCTGCCTTCAGGTGGACAGCAGTCGTATAATAAGGCCTGGTGAAACGCGGATGTAGGTATCACAGCTCCTTGTGCGAATGGAAGGTCGGGACGCACCAAAGGTAGTGGTGATGTTGACGAATGGCGACGTTCTCATCAACACTCCCAATTTGGCTCATGCGGCGCAGGACTGCCTCTAGGAGTGTCCATGAGCCCATACGTGATCGAAGCCCGATAACTTGCATGAATGGGATCATGCTGAACACAGGTATGCATGGTTCTACCGATGAGCTATCCTATGCTCCTTGCGGTACTGGCATTACCATGTGAAGAAGCTCCTATTGACCATCTTCCCAAGTATCGTCAACAAATGATTGGAATTGACGGGGGAATGCTCACATACTGCCGCAGCGCGCCTTTGAATCGAACTGTAAGGCTCTCGAACGCCTGGCGTTATGTAGAATAAGTAAACTCCACCACGTGGCACTCACAGACATCCAGGGGTTAAACTTACCGTATCTTCTGGGGAGTCGGAATACATCTTGCTCGAATGCATGAAGCTTGAGTATAATGATAATGCGATCGAAGGTTTACCTAACTCATGCTGACGATATGCTGACGATGCCACCGCCCTTGCACCGCCCCAACATGACGGATGGGACCGAGTTTAGACGTGCTTCCGTCCCCACAGCGCCCACACGTTTGACTCGGCCTCGTAGGAACTTCACTCCTTTTGCGTTGCTCATGGACACCTATTGGCACAACTTCTATATTGGGCTCTCCTTTGTCCTTGTGAATCTCAGGGTCCAGCACCCAGCAAATATCGGTGCTCAACTTGGCTTTTGTGGATGAGCGCTACGCTTCCTTGGTGTGGGAGCTAGCTCGCCCGCCGTTCGCGGGCAGTCGCGCAGTTCTTCGGGGTATGCAAACGCCGAGAGGGATACCGACGGAATGGAACGCCTGCAACGCTGGAGGATTTCATGGTTGATATCTTCGTACGATGTGCATGACGCTTACACAAAACTGAGCACCGATACGGGTAGATGAAGCTCTTTGGTGAGTAACTCGTATGAGAGATATTCGAGGATCCTTCACGAACAACGGACCCCAGATACCATATCAGATCAACGTCCCGAAGATGACGCAAGCTGTGGTGGAATTCGTCACAAGGGACCGCCAAGGAGTAGATTTCTCGTCTCCGAGGTTCGGTGAGCTCGTGCAGTACCTGCAGTCATATCAACTTTCTCAAGTCTATCCCACAGCTGATACGCTAGAAGTATATGACTGTGTATAGAGTTTGCTCCCATAGGACCTTGCTTTTCACATCCATTCTGTCGATTCTTGGACCCAAACTTCTGACGGGGCTGTCCGGTAACATCGTGGCACGGATTGATTCGAACCTCCGTACGCAGAACAGCGTCGATGTCCGACGTTGGACGGTCAGATGGATAGCATATTTGGACGTACGGGCTTGCACGAGGACATGCCTCTGAGGCTATTCATAGTGCGACGTCTGAACTCCTCGGGCATTCGTGCCAGGAGCAGTCGGAAACTCACACTCATGACGGTTCGGGAACGCTTTGGGATTGAACATGGCACTGTAGGTCATCATGATCCTCCGACTTCGAGATTCGGTCGTCTGCGGAACAGCAAGGACGAACTTATGGAGCAGCGTGGCACCCCTGGCAGCGCTGTGGGTGGGCATACGACTGCTCACTGGCACTTGAACCTAGCTGGGTATCCATCTGGTACAGTGTAGTATCTGTTTGCCAAATGCTGAGTAAGCGTTGGTTCGTACCTTCCTCTTACATCCTTCCGTTCCTGCCGTTCGCCGGTGTTTGAATGGCTTGGATCGCAACTGCAGCTCAAGGTGGAACTTGATTCCGCTACTTTCCCGGTGGGTGGTACCAGAATAGTGTCGTGGTCCAGAATAACCCCTCATACGAGATTTCGCAGCGTGCTCAAAAGAACTGAAGCGTCGTATATAATGCTCCGTGCTCGGACTGACTACAAGCGCTTGTGCCATGGTGCTCGTCCCTCGTCTTCCAGGTTGGGCTGGCGCCGTCGTTACTCGACTGATTTACGGCTTCCTTCAACGAACCGTTCTTCTCTGGAATGCCGTGGTATATGTGCGTCTCGATCGCTCTCTTATGTTCTGAGCCTTATACCTCGATAGCGTGAACCCACCTGCGTTTACGACCGCACTCATTTTTGGCATGCGGAAGTCGTGCGCGTGCTGCGTCGCATGCTCGAACTTTCAAACTATCCACCTGAGATGCGCGACCACTACATCCGCGTCTACGATGGGAGCATAATACCGCACCTCGGTCCCATTCCCGATGAGTTCGGGACTGTCTATAAGCCGTGCTCCATCATGGTGGATGATAATGGCCCGGCTGAGCTTGGTTGGGCGGTTGACTCATTGGAGAAGATGATTGTTCGATTCTATGCTGAACCCCTAGTATCCACTGTCAATGGATCGCCAGCGTCTCGCGATACTTGGATGCCCATCCTTGACAACTTCGTTCATGCCGGCGGCCAACCCGACCCAGACCTTGGCTGGGTGCAAATCTGTATCGATGCTCTCACGTGCGAACCATTACCCGCATTCGGTGGATCGATCGGTACCCAGACGTCTCAATTCATTCTAGGTATGTTGTCTCCAGTCGCAAATCCCATTCACGTATCTGATACATGCCCGACACATAGGTGCCGACCTGGACAAAACGGGCATGACGGGGAAGGCGTACTTTTGGCCGACACTTAGGTCACGCATGTCGGGAACGTCAAATATACAAACCATCAACGCTTGCATGGAGCGACTCGGCCTCGTGTCTCAGTGGTCGACTGTCACCTCTTACCTGGCCACTCTTCCTGCATCCCATTCCGCAACTCCTGAGGTAGTTGCAGTGAGCACTGTCCGACCAGAGCACAATGGCATTAAGGCCTACATCCGGACATGCGCCAACACTCTTGCAGATCTTATTCCGTATATGACTCTCGGTGGCAACCCTACTTTAGTCAATCACGACGGGGTACGGAGTGCTGTTGATTCTGTTCGGCTATTGTGGCGGCTGCTGTTCAATGTCGATGAACATACTGCCGTTCATTTGCATCGCCCCAACTTCTGGGCCAGTGGTATTCTGGTATATTACGATCTGGCACCCGGTCGTGCCTATCCGTTGCCCAAATTGTTCATCGATGTGAGGCACCGCTGCCAGACCGATGTGCAGATCGCGCGTGCTGTAAAATTGTATTTTGAGGAGACCGGCAATGATGGAATTGCCAGCTGGTACGAGGCTGAACTGAGCTCAATGTTGTAAGTCCTCTCTCCGTCGGGCGTTTACTCTTCTGTCCACTTACTTGATTGTTTGCAGCTGTCATCGTGAACTCGCCCAGCGTACCGGTGTTCACACTTGGGTCGGCGTCGGCGTCAAGAAATCGGGTCCTCGTATTACTCTTTATTATAGCCCCGAGGTGTTCTCTCCGCGATCGCAGTCCATCGCCAGGATCGCTGTGCAGAAAGACAAGCAGGGGTGACGACGCGCACATGTACATAAGCTGAGACATGTGAATTGTATCATGTCGTTACGCATCGATATACCTGCGACATATGTTAGTAATGTTCAGAATATGACTCTAAATGCGGGGAAGACAGTATACTGTCAGTGAAGGGTGACATCGCGCTTGCCAGACAAACTACATGGTCTTCACGGACCTCATTCCCTAAGATGCCACTACGCTGCACAACACTCAATGCGGTGAAGATTTCAAGCATGATCCGCGCCCTACTGCCATATTCAAAATATTTCATACCTCTTGCATAGTACATTCGCGTGTAAGCACCATCCTGAGGCTAAGCTACAGCACCATGATGCAATGAATCGATAGCACATGCCGGAACCTGGTGTTGTTACAGACATGTTCCACGACCCTCAGATCGAAGTAGATGGTCAGCTTCACCTCACGGTCCACTTTCGGTCCATTCTGAGGCGGATTGTATTCCATGACGCTACATCTCCGAATATCCTCCCTTCTGGCTCTCTTCGTCGCCTTGGACGAACTCAACACCGCGCTCTTTGACACTCGTGGTAGCAACAGCACTGGTGCCTATTTGAGTGCTAGAACCCAGCCCTGAACGGCGACTGTCCGTTCCAGTGACGAACCGGAGCGGATAGCTACGCTGATCGTTGCTTTTAGTGTTCGCCTGAGTACCATATTGTGATTCAATGGTGGTGTTGTTCGAGACACGAATGATGATGAGATTGAACGATACACCGATGATTTGAAGGAGCTGCCACCGACGAGGCGTCAGTTCACTACAAGTCTGAGAGAAAAACGTCGCTTACAGAATCAGATACTGCGTACACGGAAAGGCTATCACTATAGGACACCGTGGCCAATATAATCGTGCAAACGATGTAGATAACACCGGACTCGACGATTATACGCATTGCATAGCGTACGGGATGTCCACCGGACACATGGGTCGTGCGGGATGTCAGCGATGTGCTTCGCCTTGAGACCATATAGAGGCGGGCGGCGATGAGACCTGTTATTACGATGACCTTGAGAGCAATCTCAGACAGAATAACTGTACTGGCACCCACATGTTGTGGAAAGGTTGGTGCAGAGGGTCAAAACTGTGCCCGCATCTGTCCACACGTTCAACTTCTTGGCAGTCAAGGCGGCGTCGCCTTTGAAGTTGGCTTCTACAACGGGAACAGCAAGACCACATGCCGCTGTCCCAATACAGAGTAGACATGGAACGACGATGACCAGCCAAGATCGGCTGTAAACAATGAAACAACGGTAGATGAGCATGCCATCTCCGAGTACGACTTGAAGACAGAAGGTAACAGCCTGTTGATTCAGCGTCAGTTCATATTAATACCTGGAAAACATCGACGCACCCTCGTAGGATTGACCCAATCAGAGATATCCCCGAACCGCGCATCCGGCCCTCCAGGTCCCGTATAATTGACAAATCCATCCAGATTGTGCTTGAATAATAAGACCACGTCGAGGGTGCCGATCAGAAACATCCCCCACGACACGAGAACTAACGACCATCTCACGTCCCCGCGTCTCCACTGTGCTCGAGTGAAGAGTAGAGTTCGGGTGGTTTGAAAGAAGGTGGCCAAAAAGAGGCCATAGAACAAGGTCTCCATGAAAAGCGCTGTGAGCTGAGCTGCACCGAGCGTGAAAGCCATAATGACGGGGAAGATGCTACACAGAGACCGGCCGGTCGTTATCGCCAGGGACGAGAGAAAAGAGAGAAATGCTAACCGTACTAACGTCAGGCCGGGCCCACTGCAGTTAGTGGGCCGACTTGGCGTATAAAAGTCGGCGGAGTACTAGATTCGGAAAAGTTTACAAATAGACCATTCATGCGGCCTGAAACGATACGAGTGACGAGCGTCAAGTCAACGACCGATTCTCCCGTGGGCAGCGTGGAACGGCAGGAGATCACAACGAACGTCAGACAGTTGGTCAGAAAAAGAAGAGGGTCTTGCCTGCACATACAATCCGGTGTATTCAACATGGAACCGGAACCTACAAAGATAGCTCGTGGATGGTAGCGAGTGCTGTCGTCCGACGCAGCGTGGCACTACCGGTCCTGCATGGTCGCCGCAAGAACCACGTCCGGGCACGTTCAGTTGGTTGATATCGGAGAAATGCAACCATCTTATTAGCACACTGACACATGTTCCTCTGAGCTCCTCCCACGTGTATTCATCATTTCTATGCGGTCCAGGGGTGCATAATCGTTGAGTTCGTCGTTGAACTAGCGGCAAACCCAACTTTAGGGTCCTTCACAACGCGCGTCTGGTTTTTCGCGCTGCGCTCAACCTTTTCGGAAACGGCTGTAAGTAATAGTACTGCCACACCTTGCGCGCTCTTCTCGATTGATTCCATTCCGGTCACGAAACCAAGGCGAAAGTGTAACATGAGCTTCGCCGGACACTGGTCACATCGGTCAACGTACTGTCCCCCTGGCACCGAGGCTGGAAGTGGCAGGCGATACACCTCGATGCTGTCCGCGGCACAAAAGCGGGGGACTCTTCATTATTAGGGCATCGACGAGCAAGCGGCCCATATATGGTGGAGACGCGAGGAGGGTCCCCTCGCGCCATGGCTATCACAAGTAACCACGACGCCTCCAAGCCCGCCCGGCGAGGATGGCCCTTCTGGATCGTATTCCTCGCGCTTTGCCTCTGCTTGCTACTAACAGGGCTTGATCTTGTATGCTCTCTCATACTTCAGCGCTGACAAGGCGCTGACACTAACAGGCGTCGGTCGGCACTGCACTACCTGTCATTACAAGGTCTTTGGGAGGCAATGCCTCCTTCGCTTGGGTGTCCTCAGCGTACACATTATCTGCTACGGCGGTGCTGCCCTTATCAGGTCGACTCTCCGAGTTATTTGGGCGTAGAGACGTTCTGTTCGTCTTCATCATTTTCTTCACCGTCGGCTCTGTCATTTGTGCTCGAGCACAAACGATGGGGACTCTCATCGCAGGAAGAAGTACGTAATGGCATCATGATATTAGCGTCATTCCCGTTGTATGCATTCTGAACTAACTTTGGGGCATGGCCACATGTATCCAGCGCTTCAGGGAGTTGGCAACGGAGGCATTCAGTCATTAACGTCCATTGTTGTGGCTGACCTGATGACCCTGCAAGAGCGAGGAATGTTCAACGCCCTCCTTGGAATGTGAGCATTACCATTTATCATTCACACTTGATCTTGCGCAGCTGACGGTGATACCTCGCAGAGCCTTTACAACGGCAAGTCTGATGTGAGTCCGCTGCGATCAGGATTGTGGTCCAACCATTTATGGTCTTTGGTCATTGAAGCGGCCCGTTCATCGCTGGCGCTATCGCGCAAGAAACTACATGGAGATGGTTAGTCGCTATCCATAATCCCGAGTGTGAATAGTAAGTAAATACGATGGTCTTCTAGGCTTTTCTGTGAGTACCTTTGAGCGCGTGGGTCGCAACTCAGCGCTGTATATCGTTTAGCAGCATCAAATATTGAGGTTCCTGCTCTCTAGATATGAACCTCCCGCTTTGCGCAATCGCGTTGTCTGTCGTGTTTGTGTTCCTCTGTCTTAAGAAGCCCGAGATTGGAAGCGCCTCAGAGACGTTCGCCGCAATGGATATACCGTAAGCTTCATACTGTTATTAAGATACTTGTGCTACGTCTGATACAGAGTAATGATAGGGGTAATATGCTGATAGTAGCCAGCACCACGGTCTGCATCATTGCATTGACTTGGGCCGGCGCGACTCATCCTTGGACATCGGCATCCGTGCTTGCACCACTAATTTTGGGCTTACTTGGTCTCGCAGGAGCCTTCGTGTACAAACTTACGATATCCTCTCGTCCTTTGGTGAGGATCGCCGACCATGACAAGAATTTATATCACCTCAGATTATGCAGATTCCTCTAGGCATACTCGATAATCGTACAAGTCTCAGCGGGTACGCCGCGCTCATCCTGCATCTAATATACAGTTCATTTACCGTCTACATCAGTTACGTTCAGTCATTTCTTCATGGCATAATGGTCTGTCGGAGAATGAAATAGAGGTGCACCGTCGGGCGCCGATACACGAGGCTACTACTCGCACATGGACACCATCATTAGTTTGCTGTTTTTCCTTATCATCATATATGTTGTTGATCCCCGGTAGGATACCGTTCTCTCACTTAAGCGTAGCACATTCGTTTAGATACCTCAGAGCGTTTCCCGCCTCTGAGGTAAGATACCATTTGTCGAGTCCCCAAGCATGTACTGACTATCCTATGTACAGTCTGACTTCCGTCGTCGTGTCTAGGTAGCTAGTACAATATATAGAGCGTTTCCCGCCTCTGAGTCTGACTTCCGTCGTCGTGTCTAGGTATACTACACTCCCGACTTCAACATGGTCATGGCTGTCGGGTTCTACCTGTTAGTAAATTCTATCCGTTGCTTAGGCGACAGCGATAAACTAGATATTTCCTTCGACAGTCCAGCATACTTCCAAGCCGTCAAAGTCGCATCACCTTTGCACAGCGGCATATTTATCTTCCCGATTGTATGCGTCATCTCTCCTTCCGCCATCCTTCAAGGAATATTCATATCCAAGACGGGAAAATATTGGATGGTCGTGGGCGCGCCTTCCTTGTCTGGAGTTTAACCTTTGCTCAGTCCAGTAATTGTCTAGCACCTCATTGGCTGGAGCTTGATGCTGGTAGCTCTAGGCCTATTCACCATCATCGATAGAACATCCTCCGTTGGGGAAACGGTTCCGATGCAAATGATCATGGGCATCAGCTTCGGCTTCCTTTATGCGACAACCTTCTCTGTCCTTGCACCACTACCCCCAACGCTCAACGCACAAGCGCTTTCATTCCTCATGTTCGTCCGGACATTCTCGCAGGTCCGTTTTTTACGCGAACTTCATTTGGCCAGCGCGAGGTTTACAAAGCATCTTGTCAGTCATGGGGAATCGCCATTGCAGCCAGTGTTCTGCAGAATGAACTGCTCGCGCGCCTGCCGCTGTCAGCCCTCCGCGACGCGCTTCCAGATCACTCGTTTTTGCCAGGGAGCGGCGACCTATCTTACGCCCTCATTCCTCTCATCAAGCAACTACACCAGCCGTTGCAGGACGAGGTGCGGGACGCGTTCGCGAAAAGCCTGCGAGTGGTGTGGATTCTGCTCCTAGCGCTCGCAGGCGCAGGGTGGGTGTGCGTGTGGGGGGTGAAAGAACTGACACTGCATACGAAGAAAGATGAAAGATGGGGGCTGGATACCAAGGAAGCGGGCAGGGAAGAAACCGACGTGGGGCTGAACGACCTGCAAAGTGCCCGCAAGAACAGCGAGCCGTGAATATCTCATAGCCAAGTGCGATGGTGCTAATCGAGTTCTCATACCTCATACAGGATTACATTCGCGGACTCGGACGTGGATGTTCCATCAGGAAACACCCCCTCTGTGAATTAGTATCATAAAGGGCCAACAATGTCAAGTAATTACTAGACCATCCATGTAGATAAAGCTGTATTGGGACCTTTTACAGTATATACCAGCACATACCAGCACAGACGTACAAAAAGTAGGAAATATGGAAGGTCCCCCTGAGCATATGTCACATTTTTGGTGAAATGTGTACAAATATGTGGATTTTTATTCACTTTTTGGGCATATTTTGGTGATCTGCAACATCCATGGGCTCTCAAATATGACCATAAACATGTCACATCTTGTTAGATATCTTCAGAGTTTGGTCATTGGTACATGACATTACATCCACCCATTATATTTGTATGCATATATGTGATTCAATTTCCTCCTTATCATACCTCATGAAGTTCAGCAGAGGTTAGTCCACGACGCCAGAACAGATGACATCAAGGGATATTGAACGAATTCATTACGACAAGCTCTATGTTAACACTAAGCCGACCGCGGTGCGCGTGTCGAATCGGCCATGGTGCACCCACTGAGCACGTGGTATCGGACGCCGTGAG